GGTTACATTACATTTGTGCTGCCTGTTACATTACAAACCACAGGAGAGGGACAATTCTCCAGCAGGATAGCGCTCCTTCTCATACTTCAGCCTCCACATCAAAGCTCCTGAAAGCAAAGAAGGTCAAGCTGCTCCAGGATTGGCCAGCCCAGTCACAAGACATGAACGTTATTGAGCATGTCTGGGGGAAGATGAAGGAGGAGGCATTGAAGATGAGTCTTGGTGAGCTCTGGGAGTCCGGCAAGAATGCTTTCTTTGTCATTCCAGATGACTTTATTAATCAGTGATTTGAGTCATGTCAGAGATGTATGGATGCAGTCCTCCACGCTCATGATGGAGTCAGACACAATATTCATTCTGTCTCCACTGCAGCAGGACTTTATATTCTATACTGGACATTATTTCTGTTCAGTGACAAGACTTCTGTCTAAGCAGAGTCAGAGCTTACTGTCCTAATCAAATCATTAAAAATCAAGGCATGGTCATATTTTTTTTAGGTCAAAAAAGCGTCATCTAGAAACTTTTTCCTTTCATATAAGCCACTTCTGTAACCAAATGATCAACTAGAAGTCAAGTTATTATTATTGTTCCTAAAACTTGGATAGACGCCAAGACTTTTGTCAGGAAGTGTACAGAATATAAATCATGCAGACAAAATAAATAATAATTTCATACGCTTTTTTTATATTATACATTTATTTCATGGTGTCACAAAATACTTTGTTAATGGAAATACATTTGTATAAATTATATGTGCAATATTACACACATGCTGAATAACAGCATCCTGAAAAAGTTGCAAGTTGGATATTGAAAATACAATGTTTACATTTTTGCATTTTATTAAATAATAATTTCTATTTTAATGTTGTACCTGTAACCATTATGTTTTGAAAAGAGTTTTATGTTTTATTCTATTTTTTTAATCAAACATTTGCCCTGAAGAAATATGATCACATATGAATGATATAGAGTATATAGTGACCTATTAAACTGTAATAAATACTGTAGTATAATTTACTTTTTATTACAGTAAACTTTGGTATATTGCAGTCTAATATAACCTAGTTGTAAAACAAGTTGTACAGTATCGGGTAATTTGTTTATATTACTATAGTTGTTGTATTACTAAAGCAACTATAGAATTACCGCAAGAGTATTTTACTATAGTATGGTTTAAAACACTATAATATTTACTATCGGATTTTTTGTTAACAATTTGCATTTAATATAAAGTAGTTTATGATATTGAGAAATTCTTTACAATACTTTACCATCTGACAAGCTTTAGTATAAAAATAATTTCTTAAAGTTACCTGTGTGTAGTAGACATGAAATGGTTAACCTTTGTCACGTGATTGTGGTGGAGGGTCACCGGGGACGTAGTGCGCTTATAGGTGGCACCTGTTCATTCACAACTTAGGAAGGAGAGAGATGGGGTGAACGGGGACGCGGTACTCTTTGTTGACCAAACAAACTCAAACGAAACCAAACTTAAGCTCAAACTTAAGCCCAAATCAAATTCTACACTGTCAAAAGATCAAGGTATGTTTTATATTGGAAAATAAACGAGAACGTGAAGACATTGGAACGACTTCTTGCCTTGTTTACATTTGATGTTTGCGTCACAAATCATGTCTCTGGTTTAGCCTCTCAGCTGTTACTCAACGTAGCCGCTACACTGTGTGAAAACATTCTGTAGTAATGTTTAGTAAACACTGTAGTGTTTTTAAACCATACTATAGTAAAGTTCTTAAATTAAACTGTTGTGATGACAACACGGCTATTGCTTTATGTGTTGTTTTTAAGAATAAAAACAAATACTATTTCCTTCAAAAACTGTGAGGTAGTGTTATACTACACCACAGTTTACTGTAATAAAAACTAAAATATACTATGGTATTAGTTCATGATAGTTAACAGTGCAGAATGCTGCAGCATTTATTAACAAAGAGCTTAAAATACAATAATATATACAGTATAATAGATTTTGTAGTGCATAAAAACTACTGTTTTTCACATGGGTGTAAATAAAACATTACTGGAATATGTTATACAATAAACCCAACTATATTATTGAGACTTTTACATGTTTATACACATCCTTCACCTGTTTTATGCAACATTTTAATCCAGTTATTTTTCTTTTCGTTGATGATAAAGTTAGAAGGGATACAGCCGCGAATACTCTCTTTTAATTTTTTTTTAAATTTCATAACAAGAACAATATCATACAAAAAATGAGGAATACAATGCTTACATTTTTTCACGTCAAAGGAACAAATCAATAGAAAATAAAAAAGTAAATCACGGGATGTATAAATTACCAAAAAATTTGCAAAAGAAAATAATTCCAATATTGCATACATCCTTATATTTTTTATGTATTTAAGGGTTTCGATATAATGCTTAAGATCAATTTTAAACAAATAAATGTTAGGTTTATCATTGGACCATTTTTGTTTGTGTACATGGTACTTCCCATAAATAATCATTAAATTAATAAAGAAAATAGCTCCAAAGTTTTATCATTATTATTGTGTGTCAAGAATGTCTTTACAGGAAAACAGAATCTTTAATTTTGTAAGTTTTAAATATAAGATATTCAATATCAAAGCAAAACATTTGGGTATATGTGGATTCAAAAAAACAGGTGTTTTATCCTCGTTTTAGGTCGATTCCTAATTCCACACAAAAAGTGCATGCAGATTCCATGTCTCTTTTATTTTAACAACTTGTTTCACTGGATAAATTAAATGAAGTAGTTTATATGCCACTTCTTTAACTTTATTGGTGAGACAGTATTTACTAGGTAAGTTCCAGCCGCGGATACTCACATCAATATAGCATATTTTTTGTGACACTGTACAGCAATAATTCAGATTTTTACATTACTCTGAGGGGTGGGTGGGGAAGGTTGTTAATAAAATACATTTAATGGGTTATTTAATAAAAAATATGAATAATACTTGGTGTAATTACAATTTTTACATTATTATGAGGGTTGACTTTAAGATTGGGTGGGGGTAGATGTTAATAAACCACAATTTAATGGTTAATTTAATGAGTAACGTGAATAATACTTGGTGTAATTACTATTTTTTACATTACTATGAGGCTTGAATTTAAGGTTGGGTGGGAGTAGATGTTGATAAACCACAATTTAATGAGTAATTTAATAAATAATGTGAATAATACTTGGTGTAATTACTATTTTTACATTACTTTGAGGGTTGCAATTAAGGTTGGGTGGGAGTAGATGTTGATAAACCACAATTTAATGAGTAATTTAATAAATAATGTGAATAATACTTGGTGTAATTACTATTTTTACATTACTATGAGGGTTTACTTTAAGATTGGGTGGGGGTAGATGTTAATAAACCACAATTTAATGGGTAATTTAATGAATAACGTGAATAATACTTGGTGTAAATACTATTTTTACATTACTATGAGGCTTGAATTTAGGGTTGGGTGGGAGTAGATGTTAATAAACCCCAGTTTAACGGGTAATTTAACAAATAATATGAATAATACTTGGTGTAATTACTATTTTTACATTACTATGAGGGTTGCAATTAAGGTTGGGTGGGGGTAGATGTTAATAAAATACAATTAATGGGTTATTTAATAAACAATATGAATAATACTTGGTGTAATTACTAATTTTACATTATTATGAGTGTTGACTTTAAGGTTGGGTGAGGGTAGATGTTAATAAACCACAATTGAATGAGTAATTTAATAAATAATGTGAATAATACTTGGTGTAAATACTATTTTTACATTACTATGAGGGTTGAATTTAGGGTTGGGTGGGAGTAGATGTTAATAAAATACAATTAATGGGTTATTTAATAAACAATATGAATAATACTTGGTGTAATTACTAATTTTACATTATTATGAGTGTTGACTTTAAGGTTGGGTGAGGGTAGATGTTAATAAACCACAATTGAATGAGTAATTTAATAAATAATGTGAATAATACTTGGTGTAAATACTATTTTTACATTACTATGAGGCTTGAATTTAGGGTTGGGTGGGAGTAGATGTTAATAAACCCCAGTTTAACGAGTAATTTAACAAATAATATGAATAATACTTGGTGTAATTACTATTTTTACATTACTATGAGGGTTGCAATTAAGGTTGGGTGAGGGTAGATTTTAATAAACCACAATTGAATGAGTAATTTAATAAATAATGTGAATAATACTTGGTGTAATTATTATTTTTACATTACTATGAGGGTTGAATTTAGGGTTGGGTGGGAGTAGATGTTAATAAACCCCAGTTTAACGGGTAATTTAACAAATAATATGAATAATACTTGGTGTAATTACTATTTTTACATTACTATGAGGGTTGCAATTAAGGTTGGGTGGGGGTAGATGTTAATAAAATACAATTAATGGGTTATTTAATAAACAATATGAATAATACTTGGTGTAATTACTATTTTTACATTACTATGAGGGTTGAATTTAAGGTTGGGGTGGGGGTTGACGTTAACAAAATACAATTAATGGGCAATTTAATAAATAATATAACTAATTCTCGATAACTATCGACCGCAGCTGTATCTATTTAAGCAACAACTGGTGGTGATGTATGTTTCTGGCTTGTATATAGTTTATGTATAGTAAAACAGCAATATAGTTCCTCAACTCGAGAAAGAACCGTTTCACATGTTCATTTACAACACTGAAAGTCTATTTAGCTTAAACATCAAATCATCTTTAAACTCACCGACTAGCTTGTCCTGTCTGCGAACAACATCAGCGACCTCTGGTTCAAAGCAGTCAATTAGCTTATATTTTGTAGTGAAGCGTTGTGTTTAGTCTGGTTGCTTGGAAACAAGACAGCGCAAACTATTTCCACATCTGCTATTGGCTAGTTTTGTACATGACGTCATGGGTAACCCGGATGCACGATGCGCTGTGACGATGATAATGCGCATGTGCAGTTCGTGAGAGAAACTGCCTGTTTACCAGTTCACGAGTGAATTAACTCCATTTCACAAGGCAATACAATTAATTTAACCGCGGAATTAAGATAACAGAAAGCAGGTTTTGATCGTTCATCCACCGGTACGTTATATTTGGCGCGTATTCTGCACAAATCAGTAATATAACATGTTTAACTTATTGTTTACATGCTTGAATAAGATGTTTGAATGTTAACGTTACCATATATATATATATATATATATATATATATATATATATATATATATATATATATATATATATATATATATATATATATATATTAATTAGTATCCGCTGTGAATACAAATGTTAAGATCTAGATTATTAATCATGTTAAACGGATATCTGTTTTGTTAATCTCGATGATTTGTTTGATTATTATTTATGATCATTTGTTTCAATATTGATTGTTATGATCAGTTTTATTATTAATCATGATGGTCTGTTTCATTATCAATTGATTATAAAAATTAAAAGTAACATAAAAGTTTTTGACAGTTTAAGTGTGTGTACCGTGTATCTCTATTATGTATACATAAATACACACATGCATGCATATATTTGAGAAAATGTGTTTATATTTAGTGATACAAATTGTACAATTATATATACATTTAAAAATCTATGTAACAAAATTGTTTTGCATGGTTTCATTTATATATATATATATATATATATATATATATATATATATATATATATATATATATATATATATATATATATATGTGTGTGTGTGTGTGTGTGTGTATCACATTTACATAATAAATTTATATAGCACACACACTTATATTATTTCAAAGCAAACTTGATTCGATTAATCGCGATTAATCTTTGCCCCGCACTGATGATTGATTGTATATTGATGATATATCCGGATGTTCTGTGTCTCAGGTGATCATGTCCAGTGAAGACGAGCTGTTGTCTGTGGATTATGAGGTGTACGGCCGAGTGCAGGGGGTTTTCTTTCGCAAATACACACAGGCAAGTGTCTGTCCAAATCATAAATGAAAAAGAATGAGTTTCTATTTGAAGATATCTATATAGACAAAAAAGAAAAGGTTAACATTTATTGTAATAAGTTGGTGAATGTATAACCTGCTATTTCCTAGAAAATAGATAGACAGGCACTCGCGACCCCCAATATCCTCTGAGGTGGTTATAAATACAGAAACCTTGCATGCAATGACGCAGACACACCAATTAAATTTGTGTCAGTGCTTAAAATGTGCCAGAAAGTATAACCTGATGTTATAAAATCAAAATGCATCTGACGCTATTGCTGCCTTTAATATAATGTAATTACCCCTGGGGTCGCAATCCAATAGAACTAGTAACTATAAGCTACTATAGTAACTATATAGTATATAGTAACTATAAACAACTATTTTTATTTTCAGTATAGTTATGGATAAAATATGTTAATTCTTATGGTTTAATAAAAATAAATAGATTTTTAGGAAATCACCAGGCGACCCCCCTTCATTGCCCCGCGACCCCTCGGGGGGTCCCGACCCCCACTTTGAGAACCACTGCTGTAGACTATCGAAAAAAATATAGCTTAAAGGGGCTAATAATATTGACCTTAAAGTGGTGTTTAAATTAAAAAGGGCTTTTATTCTAGCTGAAATAAGACTTTCTCCAGAAGAAAAAATATTATCAGACATACTGTGAAAATTTCATTGCTCTGTTAAACATCATTTGAGAAATTTTTTAAAAAGAAAAATAAATTCAAAGGGGGACTAATAATTCAGACTTTAACTCTTAATCTATCTATCTATCTATCTATCTATCTATCTATCTATCTATCTATCTATCTATCTATCTATCTATCTATCTATCTATCTATCTATCTATCTATCTATCTATCTATCTATCTATCTATCTATATATATATATATATATATATATATATATATATATATATATATATATATATAAACAACCACACACACAATCACCAGCTACTTTATTAGATACACCTTACTAGTACCGGGTTTGACCCTCTTTTGCCTTCAGAACTGCCTTAATCCTTGGTGGCATAGATTCAACAAGGTATTGGAAATATTCCTCTGAGATTTTGCTCCCTATTGACATGATAGCATCACATCGCAGTTGGATAGACGTATCTAATAAAGAGGCCGGTGAGTGTATACTCCTGTAGTTTGTCTTATTGTGCACTTGTTTGTGTGTGTGTGCAGACTGAAGGGAAGAGGCTGGGTCTGGTTGGCTGGGTTCAGAACACTGATGCTGGAACCGTTCAAGGGCAGCTCCAGGGTCCCGTCTCTAAAGTCCAGCAGATGCAGCAATGGCTCCAAACCACCGGCAGCCCAAAGTCCCGCATCGCCAAAGCAGAGTTCCAGAATGAACACCCCATCCACGAACTGGAGTTTAAGGATTTCAAAGTTGTCCGCTAATCAAAGAGCAGAGCAGTTAGTATTTATTAACATAGGTAAAGTATATATACTATTTATTTTAGCATTTAAAAATCTTCATGATTACCTGTTCATGATAGTTAATATGTAGCACAGGACTCATATATTGAGTATATGGTATATATTATACCATATACCATCTGCTTCAAGACTTCTGTACAGGAAAACACACTCTTCCTGCTAATATAATACACACTCCTGTGTCTTCAGCGTCTTTGGTCTGCTTTATTTTTTGCTTTGTATAGAGACCCTTTGACTCAGGTTAGCACTGTCACTTCACAGCAAGAAGGTTGCTGGTCCGAGTCCTGGCTGGGTCAGTTGGCATTTCTGTGTGGAGTTTGCATGTTCTCCCCATGTTGGCGTGGGTTTCCTCCGGGTTGGCTCCAGTTTCCCACACAGTCGCAACACATTCTCTATAGGGGAATTGGTTCCGTTGTTTATGAGTGTGTGCGTGAATGACAGCGTATGGGTGTTTCCTAGTACTAGCTTGCAGCTGGAAGGGCATCCGCTGTTTAAATCATATGCTGGAATAGTTGGCGGTTCATTCCACTGTGGTGACCCCTGATAAATAAAGGGACTAAGCCGAAGTAAAATAAATGAATAAATAGTAGTGGTACACAGAAAACCCTAAATGTTGTTTCAAACCTTCATAAAGAAACTCATAAAGGTTTTAAACCACTTAAGGGTGATTAAATACACTAGAATATCCGTATTATTATCAGTTTTCCACATTTTGTGATTCATGTTTCTTATTTCCCCTGTTTATTTCTGCTTTTGAATTGCATTATGGGACCTTGATCTTTCTTACAACAGGTTTTAACCTTAAAAGGTATGAAAACGTGAGTTTTATGAACAATTTTAATATAGGTGGGCATAGATTCATTTTTAAAATCCAGATTAATCTAGATTAAAATGGCTCATTTGAATTCTGCCGAAGACTTTCAGAATAAGTGTGCTACCCAAATAAGTCTTTATTATTTATTATTCTCAAGCCAGGTGGCGCATTAGACCAGGTGCTTATCTCCTGTTTCAAAATGCATCACAAACTGCTTGAGAAACTGTTCTATTATAATTGGTGATGAAAATAAATGATGTTCAATAAGATGTGCTTGTGTTTATTAACTGTTTATTCAGTTAAACATGAATGTTGAACTGTACGCCTACATAAGCTCCAAACAGCCATTTCATACTTGCTTTTGATGTATGTACATAAAGAAAATGCTGCTTCGCAAAGCCAAATTCACAGAGCCCTGACGGTGTGTCAAACATTAGGTATGTTTACATGGACAACAATACTTTAATACTATTTCAATATGATTAAAACAATACTCTGATTAAGAGTTTAACATGTAAACACCGATTTTTAAATTTTTTTTATACTTTATTTTTATTTTTTTTAAGGAGAGAAGAAAAAATATATAAATATAAAACAAGGGGGGTTGAAATACAAAAAGTAGGTTAAAAAAATAATAAAATTAAGTAAATAATACAATAAAACACCAGAACTTAAATGAACGGTTGAGAGGTCACATATTTCCTTCCAGGTCACATGAACAAATACATATATAAATCAGATTACACTCTGTAAAGGCATAAGTACAATCCATTTCTCCCAATATTGCAGGTATTTGTCCATTTGTAGTTTTAAAGAAAAAGTCATCCTCTCCATATTTTGAACATTAGATATGAGATCCAACCATTCAGATTTTGTTGGGGGTTCCAGTTTTAGCCACTTTCGAGTCTCAGTTTTTTTACTGGTTGCTGTAAACACCGATTTTTGATTACCTAAATGCAGCTAAAGTCATAACTGAAATAAACAGAAATGGAATTAAGATGTGGAGTATGCATATATTAGTGCCATTATTGACAAACTATTACCATCATGTAGGACTTTTCGCCATATTTTGCGACAAGATCCACACAGGCGGCTGTCAGTAAAAGACCACGCGCACACAAACACACACATCGCGAGATGCAAAAGTTTTTTTTTCTCCATTCGGCGTGCGTTATTAAATTCAATAAAACTCTCACCAGTCCTTACTCCTTATTTGCGTCTAATACCCCAGTTTGTCACGGGGGCATGAATGAAATGTTAAAGTAAGGCTTCCTGCTGATTTGATTCAGAAGGGCACTTTTTTGTCAGACGGCTCACGGTCAGGTATACATCCGCGCTAAAATATCAAGGTAGAAGTCATCTTAGCTGGCATAGAATAGACCCTGCTCCCAACCCAATTTTGAGAATAGATTAACGGCGATATTTTATTGCGCGATAAGAGTCTCGCGCTAACACAGCACGATAATGGCCCACCACTAATTTTTAATAGTTTGAAGTGATATGTTGTGTGGGTTTGTGTTGTATATTACGATAATACACTGCCAGTGCACTTTCTGTTATCTTACACACTTCTCTATATATTATTTGTTCTACATTATAATATTTTTAAACTACTAAAATGTTAATAAAAGTCACTTTGTTACTCTGTAGAGTTTAGTTTTCAACATCAGAAGTCGACAGAGCAGAGATCAACATCCCAAAACATTTGTGATTGATATGATTGATCGCAGCTGGTCCCTCATCTGTAATCAGTAATACTCCAATCAGATTGATCCAAGCCTACAATAAATAGACCGATTTCACCCTACTGCCTTATCTTCGTTTTGGAAGAATCCCCCCCCCCCCCCCCCTTCCACCCCAACTGATCTCGGACCCTCTTTCATGCTAAATGACCAGGCGGGAGCCCTGGGCTTGATTATCCTGGGCTCAGGGTTCTCTCCCAGGAAAGCATGCCAAATCTGCATTCAGTATCAAGCAATATTTAGGTGTGAACTTTTGATGTGTAGTTAATTCATTTATTTTCTTTTCGGGTTAGACCCTTTATTAATCTGGGGTCGCCACAGCGGATGCTCTTCCAGCTGCAACCCATCACTGGGAAACACTCATACACTTTCATTCACACTACGGACAATTTTTAGCTTACCCAATCCCCCTATAGCGCATGTGTTTGGACTTGTGGGGGGAAACCGGAGCACCCGGAGGAAACCCACGCCAACACAGGGAGAACATGCAAACTCCACACAGAAATGCCAACTGATCCAGCCGAGGCTTGAACTACAACCTTCTTGCTGTGAGACGACAGCACGATACCTACTGCGCCACTGCGTCGCCCTGAAATGTATTATCTTAAAAAGGTTTTTGTGAAAAGGAAATGACTTTATAATATTTAATGTAAAAACAAACTTGAATCACCACAGTCTCCAGATAATGTAAAAACCTCTGAAATGGAGACCAAGGAAATATAACTTGGTACACTTCTTCCTTGTATTTAACCACAAAGCTTAATGGGGCTGTAGTTCTCTAGTGCTTCCATGAGTTGATGTAAAAGTTGTGTATATTTCAGCAGCATATGATTGCTAAAGTGAGAAGCCTCAAAGCAAAAAACAATTATACATTTCCCCCTTCTAAGTTTAGATGTAGATAGGTAGCCTACATCATGATGCACATAAATCATCCAGGGCTCAACAATAAGGACTGCCCGGTGGCCCGGGGCCAGCGTGAAAGACGCTCGGGACAGTAGACAGGATTGTTACTGGCCCCTTTCGGCCAGTAACGGTGAGCATGCTATTTTTTTTATAACATGATAACAATTAAGACAGCGAAAAGATGGCAACATCTAACTATGAGGCTAAAAGAAAACGTCCGTTTCTAAAGTCTTGGAAGCAGACAAGTACATGGGTACAAAAATAAGAAACTGAAAAAAAGAATGACAAAAAAGAAAAGAAAAAAAGAGTTGTCGGTTTGGCAAGCCTTTTTTATAAAAATTATTTAGAATTGCAATAAAATACCAGCACATTTTTCATACAGCTCTTTCGTTTGCATGAAATCAAACTAATTTTGCTCAGTATACATTTATTAAAAATTTTTAAATGTTTAAATTCTAGATATCATAGACATTCATAGACATTATTTTGCCACATTATTTAACATATGTGGCTAAGAAATAGCTATTAACTTTTTTTTTTTTTTGGTGGGGCCAGTGAAAATTTTGCCAGGGCAAGTAAAAACCTCAACCACTGGCCCAAACGGCCCAGTAGAAAAAATCCTTAGCGTTGAACCCTGTCATCCCTTTCCATAATAATAATAATTCACTGCTCTTATTCCATGTTTCATGTGTACATTGAGCAGCATGTCTAGTATTCCTCCAGGATGAATGGATGTATTGTGAAAGAGCCAAACATTCCAGGAAATAAGTGTTCCCTCCCCACCCGAGTCTCCTTCCAAGGCCCAGACCGGCTGCTTGTTTCTGCAGGAGCTGTGTTAAAACCCAGCAAAGCCCAATACAGAGCCCTGGGGCACCTCTGCTGCTACACTGTATAAATGATTCTATGACAAAAACTCATTAGAGCAAATGTTTTTATTATTTTAACTTTTAAGCTGATCAGGTTTCAACTTAGTTTTTTAGAACTTAATATATTAATCAGTTTGATTTAAGTTGAGATGTATAAAGGTTCATTAGTCAGCAAGAATTGTTTTAACAATGCAGCAAATGGCTAAAACAGGCTGTAATTCTTAATAGATCACTTGTAACGTGTACAAAATGTCCCTCAAAAATGAATGAAAGTTCTCCCCGCTCTTTAGTTCGCAGTCCCTATTGGAACCCGCATCGACCCTAGATTCTTATAGCAATCAGACAAGTTTGGTGAAGGAAAAATCATGGTTTGGGGTTGCATTCAGTATGGGGTGTGTGAGAGATCTGCAGAGTGGATGATCAACATCAACAGCCTGAGGTATCAAGACATTTGTGCTGCCCATTACATTACAAACCACAGGAGAGGGACAATTCTCCAGCAGGAGAGCGCTCCTTCTCATACTTCAGCCTCCAAATCAAAGCTCCTGAAAGCAAAGAAGGTCAAGCTGCTCCAGAATTGGTCCGCCAAGTCACCAGACATGAACATTATTGAGCATGTCTGGGGTAAGATGAAGGAGGAGGCGTTGAAGATGCTCCACTGCAACAGGACTTCAAATTCTATACTGGATGTTCATTCTTTCTTTTTTTTTTTTTCGGCTTAGTCCCTTTATTAACCAGGGGTAGCCACAGCGGAATGAACCTCCAACTTATCCAGCATATGTTTTACACAGTGGATGATATTCCAGTTGCAACCAGTACCATTATGTAATATTAAAT